GGCTCTCTTTCCTTGTTTTATGCTTTCTTTTTCTTGAGTTGGTTTTCCTTTAATTCTTTCTCGAAATCAAACTAAGATAGGGTGAAATTCAATCAAACCGGCATAAAATTCATACAAAAATTGCGTAAATTGTAACCAAATTCATTGCTGAAGACAATGGGCCCCTGAGCCCATCAGTATAGGCTCTTAGCAGGCCCAACATTTACACTAAATAGTCCTTGGTTCCAACCACCTTATGAAGGCCTAAGGACTACGGACTTATGTAAGTTAGCCCATCAAATATAAACCCTAAATGGTCTTATACTTAACCTCTCAGCCCATAATGATCAAACACTGTCTGACAAGAGAGGACCTCTCCCTCGGCTGCAAAGTACAGTGTTGCACTCTCTGCTCACATGGATCCTGGGAATTAAAATCTCTTTGCAAACATTTTGTGAAACCATAATATATATGTATATCTCTATATAATATATTTTGCAAAAACAAATCTCAACAAGTTTAGAATCAACTACTAACAGTTTAGGTTTTCCATCAGAGATAGTGCATTCCCCGATCATTCACTTTGTCTGACAAGGGGTTGATTCTGTCACCATGATCACCCACTCAAGTGAATTCTCAGACTGCCCCAACATACCCAAGTTTTGACCCCCAATAAGGATCTCACTGATTAGCATATCAACACCCCAATCCAACACCTAGTGCAGTACCATAATCGAGTCTAGGGGTTAGGTGCAACTTTCCAGTTTTTCCCATATGTCTCCAAGGTCTAGGGCATAACTGGAAAATGGTTTGGTTTAGAGTTTCAAACAAGCCCACACTACATGTGCTTCAGGTCTCACACTGGCAACTGAGACAAACCACCCCAACCAACATGGCAGCACATTAGTGTTAGCCTTGGCAGGATAAACCTCCCCAAGTCTATCCAACGGCTATGAAGATTCCAAACTAACACAAGTCTCATTAATGTCCAGTTTAAGGGTATTACACAAAAATGCACCATAATAACATGAATCAACTATGTACTTTATTCATTTACAATAAATGTCAATAACGTACGTCAATCTAATTGGAGCTAAGGGCATACACTGTCTAACACTCGTCGATGTCCTGGCCCGACCTAGCATTGCTTCGATGGTGCTCCTTGTCCTTCCCATGCAGCAAGGCTCGTCTTGGGTGGATCCCATAGCATAGTACCTACAAGACGGCAAGTTGCTCGAAGACCACATAGAAGCAAAGAAGCTCGCACATAGAGCCGCCCAGTATTGCCTCATCCAAGGAAAGCTCTATCGCCAGTCCCACACTCTCCCCTACTTGAAATGCTTCTCCCCTTTCGAGTCCAACTATGTCCTTAGAGAGGTACACGAAGGAATCTGTGGGGATCACCCCAGCGCCCGAACCCTAGATCACAAGGCATTTTGTCAAGGATACTACTCGCCAACCATGAAGCAGGATGTCGTCCAACTCGTCAAAAAATGCGACCGACATCAAAGGCACTCTAACCTTTATCACTAGCCAGTGGTTTCCCTGAAGTCGATCATCAGCCCATGGCCCTTCGCGCAGTGGGGAATGGACATCCTTGGGCCTTTCCCTACCACGGTCGGGCAAAAAAGGTTCCTTCTAGTTATCATAGACAATTTAAGTAAGTGGGTGGAAGTCGAGGCCCTAGCACGCATCACCGCTCATAATGCCCGGATCTTTTTTTGACAAAGTGTTGTCTGCCACTTCGGTATCCCCCGGATTCTCATCACCAACAATGGTAAGTAGTTCACTGACAAGAAGTTCGAAGCGCTCTACACCGACCTTAAAATCGACCATCAAACTATAGCCATCCACCGACCCCAGAGCAATGGGCAAACCAAAGTGACTAATCGAACCCTATTGCATGACCTAAAGACTAGGCTTGACCAGGCTAAGGAAAGGTGGGTCGAGGAGTTGTCGAGCATTGTCTAGGCATACAGAACCACACCGCGAACAACCACCACAGAGACACCTTTCAACCTAATCTACGGGGTTGAGGCCATGATCCCTATGGAGATAGGATAACTAACTCTTTGGATTGAATTTTACGATGAGGAGCAGAACAATGAAGGCCTCCGTGCAGAGCTCAACTTGGTAGAATAAGCACGAGGCCGAGCACATCGTAGGATGGCCGTGMAGCAACAAAGAAAGGCAAAGTACTACGATTCCAAAGTCCGAAGGAGAGAGTTCAAGACTGGTGACCTAGTTCTTTCGTAGGTCATAGTACACGCACCGGGAGAAGGGAAGCTCAAACCAAACTGGGAGGGACCATATTGAGTCACCAGAGTGGTCGGACCTGGCACCTATAGGCTAAAAGACCTCGACAACAGACCTATACAAAGGAGCTGGAAAACCAACAACCTCCGAATATACTATCAATAGTTCTACATTAATAAAGATGTTGTTTACTCTACCAAGTGAACAGTCCAATGCACAACACACACCGCACAACACACAGCATCTAACCAAGTTAATTGGAATTTCCGCGCACCGACTCGGCTAATCAATAACGGCCTGAGCCCATAACGCATAGCTAGTAGCTTGCTTGGCAACGTATAGCCAACCAGTTGACTCGACTAATTGATGGCCAAAGCCTAAAATGAAGAAGATCGCTCCCACCTTCCAAGGCCAGAGGGCGGTCACCGCACTCCGTACGTCACTGACGAAGTGTCAGATAGAGCTATCTAGAGGACTGCTAGCCCACGAAGAGTCGAAAGCTCCCGAGACCAACAACTAAGCATCCCTCAAAGAGATGAGAGCTCGGATAACACCTTGGCCAAAAACCAAGGACTAAAGATCTCGGCCACACATAACCTGGGTCGTAAGAAGACCAAGGCCTACGACAAAGGAAAAGTGAAGGGAAGCAACACAAGTACACAATCTTAGAGCCTGAAAACATCTCTTCATTAATTTATAGAAAATTTGTACAAGTTCTAAAGCTCAGCATACCAAGTTGTTTATTTCAACAAAAAAAAAAGAGAAGGAAAGGGGCATCAACTAAACAAGACAAGAAACTTAGATAGACAACAATGACAACGACGAGCAACAATTCAATCTTCAGGAGGATCCGCGGCCTCTTCATTATCTTCGCCCCCAACATTCTCTTCATGCACAGTCGCGACAATGTCATCCTCGGCGGGCAGAGAAGTAGTGTCATAGGGGCCCCAGGTCGCGCATCCACGACGTTGTCAGGGTAATGGCACAATGCCCTCCACCTGAAATGATTGAACCTAGCCTCGAAGGAGCTCTTAGAAAAGTCGCCCATCGCGTGTTGATACTCCTCTGAGATTTTGAATTGATCAAGTGCCTAAGCCTTCCTGTCTTCGGCCTCCTTCTTCAGCTGCTCTCGCTCTGCTTTTAGGTTAGTGATGCGCTTCTTGAGGTTACGAATGGTGTTGGACTACTCGTCAGTTCTGCGGTTCAACTCAACAATCTTCGCCTCCATCGCGGCAGTCCGCTCACCCGCTGCCTCGAACTTAGCCAATTAGGCTCTTAGGCCCACAAGCTCGGTATGCTCCTCGTCATAGAGTTGTCATAGTTTCCAGAGGCAGTCGACCACTACAACCGCCGAGCAAGCACTCTACAAAAGAAAATACGTCAACATAGAAAACCCCAGCCAAACAAGAAACAGAGAATGAGCATGGACTTACCACAATGACGTGGCGGATGAGCGAGCACTCCAAGGTACCACTCGTCATTTGCGCAGCCTCCCGCCGAATGGGCATCGTCATTATCCCGCGAAGCAGTTGCTCGGGTACCCCCTCTGTCTCAAGCTTGTCCTCAGAGCGGATGGTCCACTGCGGCACGTGGAGGGCTGAACCGTTGCTCCCCGGTACATCCATTTGCGGAGAAGGAAGAATAGCGGATTGATAACCCTCCTCTGGATCCACGACTACCTCTGTGGTTCCCACCTTATCCCCCTAGCCACGTCGACTCCACGTCATGCAGATAAGCACGACCAAGACAGGAGAGTGAATGGGGACAACCCCGTTGGGGATTAGGTCTCATCCCAAAGACCTCGGCGGTTAACCCCATCCTGACAACCCCGAAAGCCTAATCCGACCAGGACATGGACCTTTGGCTATAAAAGGTATTCCCCACTCAAGGTAAGAATCCAACTTCTAGTTCTCATACCGTTATACTGCTCGGACCGACACTGTTCTCCAACTGCTCGGCCCGATCCTCTACTGCCTTCTATTGACTTGAGCATTGGAGTATCTACCTAGGGATAATTCCTCAGGCCTCTGACATTTTCTTGTTCATAGATCTCATTGCACAGCTTTGTCCTTCCACCTCGACACCGCCCAGTTGGCAAGAACTATCTAACTATAACCTCGGTTTTTACACTACTAGAGCATCAACACCTAATTTACTTTGGGTAGTACTCATTTTTTTGTTAATTATTACAGAAATAGAAATAGATTTTTCTTAACAAATTAAAGTTGGTTAAGAGAAAAAATATATACACACATGTCAACAAGTTAAAAACCAAGTGGGTGTTTGGCATCGGTGCATTTCATAAGCGTTCTATTTGATAAGTGGGCCCCCAATTCACAAGTGTTTCGTTTTACTTTTTTTTTGAAAAACACAAAAAAATTGGGATGGAGGTTGATCAGGCATTTAAAATGATTAACTTAATATTATAATATATTTATAATAACAGTTTATAACATTTTAAAAAAGTAATCGGTTTTTTCAAATTTCAATGTACCGTATCATATTAAGCGATTCAAGATAACAGATTCTAGAAATGTCAAATTGATGTTTAAAGAAACCTTCATTTTAGTAATTCCAAAGTTAAACAGTACAAAAACATTTTTTTAAGAAACAGATTGTCAAATGCAATTTTCTTACCAATTCCGTTTATTTGCTGATGTAATATACATGACACATCAGCAGAAATGGAATGCTTGTAAAATGCTCGATGCCAAACACCCCGTATGACTGTGGTTTTCTATCTTTCCCTTTCTACCTTTTCATTCAGACCAGACTGACAGTGAGAAATCGAATACACGTCAGATTAAGATTCCACGTAACAGTGAGAAACAAAACAAAATCCAGCGTTTCTGGAGGGTTTGGGTTTCCCACCAAAGGGTTTTGGGGTTCCATCTTCTCAGGCGACGTTCACCGGAGGAGAGAATTGCAGGCAACAACCTGTAGCTTTTTACGATTTGCCTAATCTTCCAGATGTTCTCTGTCATGGCAGGTGTTTACCTGGAACGCCTGCAACAAGGGGTTCGAGGTTAGAATCCAAACTTCAAAACACTGTGGTAAGATTTAGTTCCTTCTCGGATATTTTTACTTTTTTCTTTTTTTTCTATTTCACTTTGATGGTCGCCGAGTTACAGTTCCATAGATCATAACTCACTTCTCATTCTACCTATAGGTTCTACTGTGTCTAGGTTTTTTCATTGTTCCTTTTTTTCCCCGTTTTCTGTTGATTTTAATGATTCTTTGTTATTTGACAAAGAAGATTTTAGTCATCAAATTTACAAATTCAAGAAACCTTTTGAATTGATGTCGTTTGGTTTGTTTGTTTAACGTCTGTGGAGAAGAAGATTTGACGCCGCTTGATCTGCCGTCCGAGGGGAGAAGAAGAACATGATTATGGAACTGAAAATATTTTTAGGAAGGGGAGGCTTAGATGGACTCTTCTTATCACATGGCCTCTTCTAATTGTTCTGAAAGGAGTGGTTCCACCTTCCTTAGGAAAAGGTGTCTCGTTGTGAGTTCGCATGTTTCAGCTTTATGATCGTAGAGATGAAAACATTTCTTAGCCTTAGTTTATGTTGGCTACTTTTTCTTGGTGTCAACGATGAATCTGCAATTGTCTGTTTTTCGCCTGACATAGACGACCTTCAGTTGCAGGGTCGGAAGATAGTAAGTGAATGATTGTCATGGAATAACAGTCTGTTCAATTAGGAGGTAATCGTTGACCCGTTTTATCAGGAAAATTTGTTTCTACTTTTTTGTTTTGTTTCAATTAAGAGGTAATAATTGATCCATTCAGGAACAATTGTTTCTGCTATTTTTTTTTTTTTTTTGTAATTTTATTAGATGGGTTTCGTTATTATTTGCTCCCTTGAATTGATTAGTTAGGTGGAATTCAATCAAGATGAGCCAACCTTCAGTGATCCTTGCAACAGCTGGGTATGATCACACAATTCGGTTTTGGGAGGCAAAGAGTGGACGGTGCTATCGGACTCTCCAATACCCAGATTCTGTGAGTTGTAATGACTTAACTGTTTATTATTATTATTATTATTATTGTTATTATTATTATTATTATTATTATTATTTCTTTTTTTTTTTTTATTTTTTATACCGCTACTAGAGAATACTGATTTTAGAGCAAGTCTTTGTGCTGTGGTGGCTGGCTTTGAATGCTGCTAGAATCTCTTTGTAGGATTGTTAACACTTGACAAGTTGAGTTGAAGGTCCTGTGTATCATTCTGTACTTTATAGTATAATTTTCTATAATGGATAAGAAATTGATTAGTTGGAGTTTTGAGCGGTGATCTCAATTCCAACTGAATGATGCCTTGTTTAACTCAAAATCCAGTTATTTCATTAGAATCAATAGAGTAGTAATAATAATAAAATAAAAAAAAAATGATACAACAACTCCTAACCATCCATTTTGTTGCCCTAGACCCACTATTATCTTTCTTTTCTTTTTATTTTCTTCTTCTATCAGCTTGAATCCAAGTTTGTGTGGCATCCAAGGTACATTAGCAGGATAGGAATATTAAGGACAATGGAAAATTTTGCATGTAACCGGTAAGGATTATATGTAGGACATGACCAAGGTTGTGCTTGTATTGGAGAGCGGAAGTGGAAATGCAGATAGAAACTTCAATGAAATGGTTCCGAAATAACTAGCCCTTAAAGGTTCCAAAATCACATAAACAATGGAAGAGAGGCGAATGGGAGGACATTGGAGGCTGGCTCATTATCTAACTGACAACATGAATGCTAGCCTTATTTGGGTTCCTAGGGAGCTGAATTCGATTGCTGATGGTTTTGCAAAATCTGGAGTTCACAGGGATTGTTTGTATAGTGATAGATATCTTCCTTTGTAACCCTGTGTTTCTCCTTTTCCCCTGATGCACATCTTTTTTTTTTTTTTTATCAATAACAAATTCATTAAATCATCATTAAATAATTACAAAGAGGAAGACAAACATTCTTATCTTCCAAATACAACTTAAGCCTTCAATAAAAAAGAAAAGGAAAGGAAGAAACAACAAAATTACAATTTAGCCCAAAACATTGAATCCCTTTCTACCCCTTGTTTAGCTAATCCATCAGCTAAAGAATTAGCTGATTTTTTAACCCAAATCATCTTCACTTCCATCTCCCGCACCAGTCACTTAAATCTTCTCCTCTCATTGTTATAATTCCATAAGCCACTGCTATCTTTATTCAGCCACCCTATCGCCACCTCCGAGTCCCCTTCAATTATCAGCTTTCTGATATTCATCTCCTTAGCCTTTTGGATTCCTTCCATAACTGCATAGATCTCAGCTCTAAGGGAGTCACCCACTCCAATTGGGCCTGAGAACAAGGCAGAAATGACCCCATTCTCATCCCTAAATACACCCCCAATCCCTAACTGTCTGGGATTCCCCCTACTACTCCCATCAAAGTTTAATTTTATGAATCCAGTAGGTGGTGGGGTCCAGGGAACACTCATTACTAATCTGGCATGTGTACAGTTTGCAATCTCACCCCACTTCCTTAACATGCCATCCACTGTGTAATCTGTAAATAGCTCTAAAGATTTCAGCCATTGGACAGCCCTAATATGGATTATAGCCCTCAGTTCTTCAGCCCCTCTCTCCACTTTTGAGAAGATCCTGGAATTTCTTTCTTCTCATAATGACCAACATACGGCAGCCCTCAATCCCCTCCACATAGTCCTTCCCCTTTTCATACGCCACCTGAAAAAAGAAGGGGAGAAAAGATATTGCATGTCTGATGGAGGGTCCCATTTACACCCAAAAAGAGAAAAGGCCCAATCCCGAATAGACTTTGCAAATTGGCAAGACACCAGTAAGTGGAAACTAGTCTCCCCCACCACTTTGCAAAGAACACACCAATCTTCTCATGTACATCTTCTCATGTACCTCTTTATTTTTTAATGAAATCTCTGCAATCTAAAAGAAAAAAAAAAGGAAAAAGGGAGCAAATAATTTGCTGCTCTCTGGATTCTTTCTGTGCCAGTTTGAAGCTGAACAGCAGAACATGGAAAATAGCAAATTGTGGGGGTCCTCCATCCAGCTTTTCCATTTCTTTTCTGATCTAAATACAGCCTAAATGAAATGTATGACTAGTAAGGTAGGAAACTAGGGGGATGATTATAGTAAAGACGTAACACATTCCTTTTTTCCCAGACAATACAACATTTAGGTAAATTTCTCCTCTTTTTTTCTTGTTATTCCCCTTGATTTGTGATGTCAAATTCACTAATATGGTGCAGCAAGTTAATCGTCTCGAAATAACCCCAAATAAGCAATATCTGGCTGCTGCTGGAAACCCTCACATTCGATTATTTGAAGTCAATTCAAACAGCCCTCAACCGGTTGGTTTTTTCTATTGTCATCTCTTCTTTATGGGTTGTAATTTTTTAATCCCTGGGTCTGAATAACAAAATTATTTCTGTTCTTTTGGCAGGTGATGAGCTATGACTCACATACTAATAATGTTATGGCAGTGGGGTTCCAATGTGATGGAAAATGGATGTATTCTGGTTCTGAAGATGGGACTGTAAAGATTTGGGATTTGAGGTAAAGTGGGTGGCTTGTTATACACGGGCATATACATACATATTTTTAATGGAAAAGTCTTTTCTTCTGAGTTGTTTTTCCCGGTATTTTGAGTTTTGTATGTTATTTGTTGATTATGATTATATATTATATCCATGTATGCTTTTCTTTCCTGGAAAATGATTAATTTTTTTTGACCTTATAATCCAATCGCATGGTTCTTCCTTTAGACTTTCTTTTGGCTCGTTTTTTTTTTTTTGTATTTTCCTCTAGTTCTTTTCTCATTTTAAATCAATTTCAGGGCTCCTGGTTGTCAAAGGGAATATGAAAGTCGTGCAGCTGTTAACACTGTTGTCCTACATCCAAATCAGGTGAATTATTACATTTTCATTACAAATTTACAACTGCAGATATATCCTATACTGAGTAATGAACCCCCCTCCTGTATTTTTTTTTTAATTGATAAGTAACAAGACAAGAATCTCAGGCTGAGAAGCGTGACAATGAGGGTAATGACCTGTGTTGCACCAAGTAGATGTTGTGTCCTTGCCAAATGTGAGTCAGAGTTTGATACTTCATGGATTCTTGAGGACACTTCCTTGTAACATTTGCTTTTTACCTCCTAGCTTATTTGACATAAATGAACAACTAATATACAAGATGAGTGCCATCTCAAATGTTACTTGGTAAAGGCAACATTTTTTACATGTATATAACATTAGAATTCAAAATTATAAATTATTTTAATAGTATATACTTTTCCATAGATGTGTCTGCATGTCCATGTTTTTGAGCACAGGGGCAAATTTGGACTCACATGTCTATGTCCATGCAACACTGCTAATTACTAAAAAGGAGTTTATTACTGAAAGAGAAGAGTTACTTGAGCTAAATCAATGAAGAAAAGAAGGAAGAAAAACTGACTGGAGAAAATGATATAAGAAGAAATCAAATATTTGGATACTCCCTGTAAGACCATGGACAAAGCAAAGGTAACAATCAAATTTCCAAAGGTCCGAAGAATGGTGATGGAGTGAATTGGTTGGGGGAAGAAAGCGAGTGGCTGGAGCTTGTGATGGGCTGTTCTATGTACCCTCCTTAGATGAACAAGGGCAAATGTAGTTCTGGTGATTCCTGGTGGTGGAGGTAGAGATTGGAGTTGGTGGAGGGAAAGAGGGAGGAGGAGAGATTGGAGTTGGTGATTCCCCCTATTTGGGTTAAATGATTGTTTGTATATTTTCCTTTTCTCTATCTTCTGGTAACTATGCCATTCAACATAGGTGGCCAGTTGTGTTGTCAGTCCAAAAGCCTTATGGGATTGAGCAGTTAGAAGAACATGGAATTCTTGAGCCGAGAAGTTTGAGTTTGAGGAAAGAAATAACAGAAGAAACTAGGAGCCCTGTTTATAGATCAGGGGTCCCAGAGGTTGTAGAGGTCTCGACAGAGAAGGTGGTCACAGAAGAGGCACTTGTGATGCTGAAGGTTTTGTTTGGAGGAGGGCAGTTTTCTTCCCCAAAAAGAAGGATCCAACGACAATACAATAGGAGGACAGGGGAGAAAAAAGGAGTGCTGAAGAGAAGGGGGAGACTCAGGTGAATTATAAAGTCGATTATATGCAAAAAATAGAGGAGGATGATGAAGACATATTGGGCATCACTGATGGTGAGGGAGAAGTTTTGGAAAGTTCTGAGGGAGATGATAAGGGGGAAAAATGGTGGCAGAAGAAAAAGAGATTAGTAGAGAGACAAGTGAGGTCTTACTGAGAAGGGTTGAAAATAGAGCTGAAGAAGAGGGGGATGGGGAAAGCAGTCAAAAGGATGGGGTGACAGGGGTGATAGAGGAAAAAGAAATGAGAGATGTAGAAGAGCCAGTGGGGAAGGGAGAATGACAAATGAATAAATTTCTAATAGAGGAGAAAGGAGGGGAAGATGATCTAGAGAGTAGAGACTAAGGGAGGGGGAAGAGGGGAGGAAGGACGTAAGATGGGAGATGGGGTTAGAATTTACAAGAGGAAGAAGTACAGAACTTGAAAGTAGAGAAGGAGAGTCAGGGGAGGCTAATGAAGAGGAAATATTTAATGTTTCCATCACTTTCCTTAATCCACTCATATAGGGATTTTTTTAATTTGCAGACATTCCCTTCACACCCATGTATGAATCCGAGGGGCTGAATCATATATACTTCTTCTAGATGTCCGTTCAGGAAAGTATTTTTAATGCCGAACTAATGGAGCCCCCAGTCAAAGTTAGCAGCCAAGGATAACATGATCCGGATAGTGTTCATTTTAGCAATTGGGGCAAAGGTTTCTGCATAGTCAACCCCATACACCTGTGTAACCTTTTTCTAATCAATAACAGAAGAATTTCATTCATTAAGCACTACTGGAAGGTACACAGCAGAAAAAGGAGAGATAAATTCTCTCTCTCCCAAAAAAATAAAAAGATTACAAACAAGCCCAAAATAAATGATTTCTTCCCACCCCTCGTTTTTCCAAAAAATCAGCAAAGGAATTAGAATCTCTTTTCACCCATTGAAAAGTAATCTCCATTCCTTGTAGCAGCCTTCTAATTCTTCTCTTGTCATGGATATATTCCCACCATCGCTCATCCCCTTGCTTTTGCAACCAACTAATCACCAACTTCAAGTCGTCCTCAATCGAGGGTATGCTTAAACTCAGTCCTTTGCTTTCTGAATTCCTTCCATGACAGCTAGGATTTCAGCTCTTAGATCATTTACCCACCCCTATTGGACTAGAAAATAGAGCAATAATTTTTCCTTCCTCATTTCTGAACACTCCTCTTGTAAGTACATGTGGTTCCCCATTGCCACGTTCATGATTAAGGAATCGAAACAAAACCACACATACACTCGTAGCAACATGGAGGACCACCCAAAACTTGCGATGAACTCAAAGATCTGTCCCGAGCTTGCGATGAGCTTCAAGAGCTACCTTGAACATGTGGTGAGAACATAATGTTGCCTAATACTCGCAACAGCTATGACGAAGTGTCTCGAAGACGATAAAGCGAACAGCCAGACGTAGCAGTCAAATTTGGGCCTTGCCCATGACACGTGACCTCAAGGAACCTACGACGGGAAGTAGCATACATATGCTAAAAGAGAATCCTCAGACGAAGGAAACTTTTTCCTCAGAAGATCTTGTTAGACACGTGGCAAAACCTTAGTAGTGCTCCCTTGATAACCGACATAAAGACAGGATTCCCATTCCTAATGGGAATCAAGTCCCTTTTGGATCCTTCTCCTTAGGGTCTCAGGATCCTCCTTATAAAAAGGAGGAATAAAGTACAACCATGACACTCGTTACTTTCATTGCTACCCCACTTCGTTAAGACACCCGAGCAGCCAAAGCGTACTCATTATCTCCCTTTGCAACCCTAATCCTGGTAGTTCTTCGTCCTTCAAGGAGACCATTCTACCTAGCTCCACCACCATACTTACACCTCCAATACCAGATGGTCTCGGGTTGCCTTCACTACTGCCATCAAAATTCAATTTTATGAACCCACTTGAGGTTGGGGACTAGAGTTGACCATACTGCACCTTAGTAGGAACAGTATCAGCAATTTCCTTCTATTTCCTCATTAGCTCACCTACTGGGATGCCCTCAAACAGCTTCAATGTCTTCACCCAATAAATCACTTTGATGGATATGGCTTCTATTGTCGCCTCCCTACTCTTTTGTTTTTCCACAAATATTCTTTGGTTCCTTCTTCCCAGAGAGTTCAGCAGATTGTTGCCCTTGTACATCTCCAAAGAATTCTACCCCTCTTCTTTGACCATCTAACAAAAGTAGAGAAGAAAAGGCTTTGGACAGAAGGCAAGGAGTTCCATCTGCACCCAAACAAATAGAAAAACCATTCCCAAATCGAACAAGCGAAAAGGCAGGATATTAATAAGTGATAGTAGGACTCACCATCAGCCTTGCAGAGAGGGCACCAATAGGGAGAAAGACACCAGACATGTCTTTTCTTTGCAACAAGTCACTTGTGTTAATTCTTTCCAGATAAACTTCCTAGTAAAAACTACTAATCCTAGGCAGAATAGGAGTGGTCCAAACCTCTTTAACAAGAAAAAGGCACTCCCAAACTATCACTTGACTGAATCAAATTCGAAAAGAAGGAAGCATAGGTAAAGGAACTAGAGGGAGAGGGGGTCCAGATTCGGCTATCACAAATCAACACTACTTTTTCAAGAGATTGAAGCAAATTAGATACACAACAAATTTCAGACCCTTGAAGCCTCTTCTAAAACTCAAATCCCAACCCAAATCAACACTAGAGTTAGAGGGAACCAAGAATGATGAAATAGGCTCTTCCTTCTGGGTAGAGAGGGCAAAAAGGGAAGGGAACTGTTCCATCAAAGATGAGTTACCCAACTAGACATGCTCCCAGAATTTGACTAGGTTTCCAGAGTACAGATTATACCTGATGAATGGCAAGAAGAAAGGCTGGCATGAATGGACTTCCAAGGGGCAGCTCCGGCCAGAATTCTAGAGTCCCACTCATTTGCCACAAGCCCATGAATACTAACAATTACTTTTGCCTACAACTTATCCCTTTCTATAGGCAATCTCCATGGCCACTTCCCTAATAGAGTTGTGTTTCTTTCCTGAATATTTCCAAGACCTAAACCTCAAACATTCTTCTACACACTAATTCCCATTTAACTCTATGGTCCTTCTCCTCCCTTGGTTCCCACAAGAAATCCCTCATGAGCTTCTCAATCTTTCTACTTACCCCCACTGGAATCCGAAACACAGAGAGAAAATAAATTGGTAGGTTTTTGCTAATGCGGATTTGATTGAAGTCATCCTGTCCCCCAAAGACAAATGATGCTTCTTCCAAGAAGCCATCCTCTTCGTAAATCTTTCAGTTACAGGGCTCCAAAAGTTGCTTCCTCTCAGATCCCCCCCAAAGGTAATCCCAATTAATTCATTGGCAAATGTGAGACCGAACAACCCAACAAAACTGCTCTCTTCAATCTCCCTCTCCTCCATATTTACACCCGCAATGCAGCTATTGTCAAGATTAATCTTTGGATTGGACATTTGCTCAAAAGTTTTCATAGTCCATTTTAAATTCATCACTCATCTAATGTCACCACCTGTGTGTTACCTTTTGCAACTAACTTGGCCTTATATCTCTCAACTATTCCATCTGCCTTGTGTTTCATGTGAACACCTACTTACACTCCACTAGCTCTTTGCCTTCAGGAAGATCCACCATCTTCCTTCATTGCATTTGTCCATTCAGGTATAAACAAAGCTTCTACAACACTTTTGGGAATGGAGACACAATCAATGGCAGTCAGAAAAACATGAAATGAGGGTGAGATGTTTTCATAAGACAAGAAATGCACAATAAGGTGCTTAGTAGTGCATGACCTAGCACCCTTTCTATGAGCAATTGGAATATCAAGGTCACCGATAGAATCATCAATAACAATAGGCTCAGTAATATCAAGAGGAACAAGAGTACCTGGTTGAGAAGGATTCACTTCCAAAGAGTGAGATGATACTGGATACATAGTTTCAGGCTGCTCCACACCCTTTGAACTCAGTTGTCCATTATGGTGCCTTAGGAAAACACGGAATTGAGTAGAGTTAGGAATAAAAGTGGGACTTGCAAAACCTGCCTCTCCTCTTTCACACTATTCTCCCCTTGAGGAGAGGTAGGAAAGTAAGGATCAGACTTTAAAAAGGATACATCCATCGATACAAAATACTTGCATTAGGCAGGATTAAAACATTTATAGCCCTTCTGGGAGGATGGGTAACCCAAAAAAATACACAAGATAGACTTGGGGTCCAACTTACCCTGATTTGGAGACAAATCATGAACAAAGCATTTGTAGCCAAAACACATGCAAAGGAATAGAAAACAGAGGGGACTTTGGAAATAAGAGTTGATGTGGGACCTTGTATTGTAAGAGACGAGATGGCATGTGATTGATCACAGCATAAACTAGAACCACTTGGGAACATTCATGTGTAACATCATACAACGGGCAACTTCAAGAAGATGTCGGTTCTTCCTTCCTACAACACCATTTTGTTGTGGTATCTTGGCACAAGAGCTTTGATGGAGAGATCCGTGAGATGCAAAAAATTCAGCTAGATCGTGATGAAAGTATTCTTTTGCATCATTTGATTGGAAAGTTTGTATCTCAACATGAAATTGAGTAAAAACCATGCAATGAAATTCTTTCACAATTCCGGGTACCTCTTCCTTGGAATGGATAGGATATATCCAAGTATATCTGGAATAGTCATCAATGAAGATGATAAGATACTTGTATCCACCCTTAGTGGGTATGCTGGCTAAGCCCCAAACATCAGAATACACAACATGGAAAGGCAAACTGGAACTTTTATTACTTGAAGGAAAACTTGTTCTACAATGTTTGCTTAATTGACATGTTTGACATTGCAAACCAGAAATAGATATAGACTTAAAATAGTTCAGGAAGCATAACTGTCAAGGACTCAAAGGACAAATGACCAAGACGATTATGCCATAACCAAACTTAACTCTTAATAGACTAACTAATAGACTGACTCATAAGACTCACAAGGGTTAATGTGACCACAAAAGAAGGGCACGCCCCAAAGAGTGCTATTCACTACATTCGATTGTCACCACAAACAACACAAAATCTCTTCTTGGTACAACGAACAAGAGAGAAAAGAAAAAAAAAGGATAGTACAAGTGTCTAGTTCAGTCCAGTGGAGTTTTGCCTCCTCTTCCAATAAAAAAGGGTAAGTTCCAGTTGAAAAAACTTGATCTGAAGAAGCTTAAATCCAAATCAATGCTTTGATACCATGTAGTCCAGCAAAGAAATAAAGAAAATAAAGTCGGAGAAGAGAGAGGAAGAGAGAAGAATAGAGAATGAAGAAGAAGAGAAAAGTTCTTTCTAAAGTTTTATAGCTGGTGGCGCCTAAGTATATATACTTAGGGCGACAGCTTACAAAAAATGAAAAGACTAAAATACCCTTGCAGCAATACATTTAACATATTAAAACAGTGTGAAACCGGAAGAAATACCCAGAAAGGTGGAGTTTGTGATAGATTGCTCATCCTACTCTATGTGGATGACAACCTCCATTGAAGCCTTTCTATGGAAGGAAGGTAGGAGGGAGGAAGATGAACAGGTGGAGTGGGAGTTCTTATGTGGCAATTCGTGGTTCATTGGGGCATTAGGGAATGGAAGTTTCACCAAATTGGAACATCTGAGGTGGATTGTGGAGAAAGCCAAACGACAGTGTGAAGAGTTCTCTACTAAAGACAAAAAAGTAGTAGTGATAGGGGACTCTTCATATGCCTAGGTGTTAATTAATAGTTTTAAAGAAGACATACATGCACAGAAAAAAGAGAATTTAAATTCAGGTCAGCGATTAAGTTAAGGAACCATTGGGGTTAACCAGAAGGGAGAGTTGAATTGGGTGGACCTAAAGGCTAGTCAATTGAAGGAGGTTGGGTTTAAATTGGGAGTTGGGTCGAGTTTTTCAAAAGAGATACGTGGAAAACAGGTGTTGGAAGGTGGGCTGACATTAAGGCCCTTAAAAGAGAGGGTGCATGATTTTGTATTCACTTGAGTCAAGTTGGGGGGATGATGGAGGATGGTATTTCTGGTCCATCATCGTCATCGTCCTTAGTTGAAGCTTGACAGATGAGTGCGGGAAAGGAAAAAAACTTTCATAGTTGGATCTGTGGTGGATTCCAAGAGAAGAAAAACATGGTGGATCGCCGAGAAAATGAAACCCAAAATTTGTCTGTTGCTCAAGAAGATTAGCAGGGGTTGGGTTGTATAGGAGGTTGGGGAAGGTTAGTGCATCTAATTGGTTGAAGGCGGAAAAGGTAGTAGGATTTAGAAAATCACGTCTCAAAACCTCCCAATAATTTAGGAAAGAGGAAGAATGAGGTTTGGGACTGGGTGACCACAAGGTTTGTTCGCACTGAAGAGCTGAGCTCATCAAGTTGTCTAAGAAGTTCGAAGGTTGAAATAGACCTAGATACAACCCCGGATGAATTTCAAGTGCTTTTGCTGGAATCAAATAATGATGTTGCGCAAAGTAGGGCTGTGGTAGAGGAGAGTTCTAGGGTCTCGACGATAGTTCCACTGAACCAGTCGAAGTTGAAGGGGATGGAGTAAGTGCTCTAGAGGGTGCATCGAAGAGTAAGGTAAGTTCAAGAGGGACTGATAATAGGGAGTTGGACCTGGTTTTCGGGGAGAAACGAGTGAAGTGGAATTGGATCAGGTTTGTGAGGAGGAAGTTTTGAGAAAACCGGTTTTAGTAGGAAACTCGGTAGTGGATTTAGGTAGAAGGGTTGAAGGAGTCTCAGAAAATCTTGTTAATAACACACTTAAAACAGGGGAGTTGAGAAAATCAAAAGGGTTGGGAAACATGCAGCTGGTTCATGTGATCAGTCTTTCATAGGCTCAAGGAAGGGCTAGTTGGGGACGACCCTTGCTGCAGATTCAAGAGAATTTACAAAAGGGATCGAAAATCAAGGCTAGAGTCAAACCTTGTTGAAAGATAGAGATAACCTCTTTGAAGTTAGATTCAGCAGTGGAGGGAGGGGGGAAGGGTGATAGATCAGGAGTGTTGGGAAATATGGTAGTCGCAAAATCTCAGTTCGATGAAGAAGAGGAAAGGAGAGAGGGGGGAGTGTAGTTTAAAAGTCTTCTAAGGAAGGTAAAACTCAGAAGGGGAGAGTGGGTATTGATTGACTAGTGGATAGACAGGTGGAAATTGGGAAGTCTCTCGGATTATTCTTTTTTTTTTTTGGGGTGGGGGGKGGGGGGTGGTGGTGAGAAGAGCAAATGAACAATTCAAAAAAAAAGAAAAGAAGGGAAGAGTCTAACAAATCGAGAGTTCTTGGGGAAGGGGGGAAGGCTTGGGAGGAAGGTGAAGGGGGAGAGGAAGGAATTTTGGCCAAAGAATGATGGGGGGGGGGGGCAAAGTGGCCGCTGTTGAGGGGGGGGGGGGAATTTAAGAGTTGCAGCAGAAGTCTTGGGATTAGTGTGTGGGTTTGTTTATTTTGCCTTCAAGGTTATGTTTCAAGGCTGTCCTTATCCTGGTTGGAAAAGAAGAAAATCCTTTATGTAGTGCAAGAGTCCTGGGAGGTCTGGCTTGCAAGTATGTAATTTGGACTTGATGTTAAGTGGCCTTTTCTTGTGGCTGTTGTGTGGTGATATCTTATCACTCTCCTTGTTTGATGTATCTCTTTTTTCTTTTAATAAAATTTTATTTTATCATAAAAAAATAAAATTAGCTATATCTAACCTAGTTGTGCATTTTGTATAGACGGAGCTAATATCTGGGGACCAAAATGGAAATATACGTGTTTGGGATTTGACAGCGAATTCATGCAGCTGTGAGTTGGTAAGTATTTAGTTTATTCTGGACTGTGTAGTTTCAGTTTTATACTCATAGTCACTTTATTCCTAGGAAGGAATGTTAACCTGTGTAYGTTTGTGGTTTGCTGCTGTTAATTTTTTGGGAATAGGGCCTTGAATTCCAAGGCATATATGTGGTTCTCTTTTGTTGCTTGCATATTTGGGAACTGTTTGTGAGCCTTGATCTCTTTTAGAGAAACTGGCATTGATGTTAGAGAAATCTATTATCTAGTTTTGTTCTTCTTTTCTTCTCTATTTGATATGTCTCTCCTTTTCTTGTTTATTTGGTTGCAATCATACAAGACTTGCTATTGCAATGATTTACAAGTAAAAAAAAATGGAAACCTGAATTTTGAAGGAAATCAAATATTTTAGAAAGCTTATTAGCTCAAATCAAAATACCTAAGCATGACTTATAGAATAAATTCAAAGTGAAAGAAAACAAATGTAGATCATACCATGGTTATTCAAGCACTCAACAATTCAAGCATGTGGAACTCTCAACATTTTAATTATCTTTTAGTTGAATTGCATTACTTTTTGTTTTTTTTGATAGATAACCGTGAAGAAAATTTTATTAAGAATCAAATAATATTGTGCAGCATTACAAGCATTTTGTTGGATAGGTAGCGGGTACTACCTCCCTCAAGTATACATTCAGTGGTTATAGTTGAGCCCAATACAAAGAATCCCTGTTAACCCCCTGTTTTGCTAAAGTTATCAGCCAACCCATTTTCTGATCTTTGCACCCATTGAACTTTTATTTCCATATTCTTAGTTAGCCATTTGATCTTCTTTAACACATTACTGTATTCCCAAGTTGCTTTCTCACCGTCGACCATTTAATCTTCTTAGTTGCATTACTTCAAGTTTTTAGTGTGATGTTAGACGTCTTCCATTCCTAATATCTCTTTAAGGCTCCTAGAGTCAATTCTAAGTAAGCCCATGCGTGGGGTTCGGAGGCAGTGCCATGCACCTGAATTTTTTGTCTTTGTATATAACAGGCTTGGTTTTGTGATTTTGGTTGCAACTTCATTCTATTTTAGGTTAGGGATCAACAATTGGTGAGTTTTTATGTGATGAATCTACATTCAACTAGTGTTCTCTTGATCGGTGTAGGAACATGTATCATGGAAACAATTGTGGACTCCATTAGAGTAAGTAATGAGCCAAGGGTATGTTTTTGGATCAAATCAGCACTAGAGAAGAATGGAGTGGACTCAGAAAAGGTGATTAGGATATGTAAAGGACTTCTGTAACTCTAGACTATAACGCTTTTCAAGATTAGGACCCAGCTTTGGAAGATGCATTTATTAGCATGAAAATTGAACTTATTAAGACTATGACCTAGCTTTTGCAAAGAGCAGATACATTTAAAAACACTAAGTGGAAGAGGGAAAGGTAATGGGGAGGGGAATAAAATAGGAAAAGGTGAGTTTCCATTAAGCATGAAAAGGACATGTGGTTTATGAGATAACATGAAGTAAGAAATGCATCACTCCAATAAGGTTTTGGAATAAATATTCGAAGTATTAAAGCATGTGTGACATCTTGCCCTCCACCAATTATATTCCTTGTCTTGAAACCCTAGAACATGAAATAAGGATAAATAACTTTTATCAAATAGCCCCTAAAAGTTTTTCCAAGGAGAGACTTATTGTGCATTTTAGAAGGTTTAGTAGTAAAGAAGATGGAGAACTGGTCATCGGTGTCAACAAAATTGAGGGGAGCTTGTGTAATCGCGGCTGAAACATTTTAATTGGAAGAGTTTAAGGTGGGGCAGGCGACGGTATTGTTGGACATTGATAAGGTCGTGTGGTTCAAATTTCAAAGAATTCTTGGATGGGGCAATCTTCAAATAGAAGTCAGTGCTAGAAAAGAAGTTACAAGGTAGAAAGGAGAAGAAACTGAAAAGGGAGATTTATAGCTGTGTTGGAATGGTTTGGTGAGAAAAGGAAACAGAGGGTATTCATATCTGAAGCAGTATTTTAAAATGTGGATGCGTGACATGAGGCGTTCCACTACTTGGTGGTGTGATGTGTAGTTTATTTGGAGTGCAAGATGTGTAAGCCTCCTGAACTTGAGGCATAGGTGTTGTGTAGATGTTTTATATGTTTTTGTTACAGTCTTATGTGGTTGGGTTCATTGTAGTGTGCTGTGATTAGGTTTTTTTGGGAAAATCTGGAATTTTGATCATATTAAGATAAACAAATTTGGAGGGTTTTCATCCTTTGGACTATGTTAATATATAAAAGAGAACATGATAAAATGGTTACCCCACTTTTTTTCTATTGCATTTTATTATAAAAAGTGGCTTAAATACAAAAGCATAAGCGACATAAGACTCTTGTATAAAGCACAATAGAGGTGTATGCATCTATGCTGGAGGCGTATGCCTCAAGGGGTTTGTATGCTTCTTGGCTGCACTTCCAGGCGTTATCTCAGCACCTTGCCTGGATGTCTCCAGTGCTTTTTAAAACACTAATCTGAAGGAAGAAGGTCAGAAGGATGATCAAGCCTCTGCAATCCAACGATTGGTAGTGAAGGTGAATCGCAAGGTTGGGGAGCTAGAGAAACCACTAGTGCTTCAACAGGAGCTAGAAGTCGAGGCAAAAGAAAGGAAGATAGAAGCGAACTTTTTATTGTCCATCTCAATGAACAAACTGATTCCTTCAATGGTGATAATGGGGAATGGTATAGAGTGGAGAACATATTGGTTGTGATATCCAAGCAGCGGATTTGAGATTGGAAAATGTTGTAAGAACAAATTAAAGAGTCACTTCAAGTGCACTAGGAATCTCCACTAAATCCTTGTCGGGATACAAAGCCCTGCCAGTGACGCTTCTGGCTATTAGCATAGCGAAAAGGTGATCTTGATGGACAAAACCTCTTTCCTTGTTTCCAAGTGGTCTCCGGTAGCTAATGTTGTGGAGAGAAGAGATACAACTACCCTGATTGAAGGCAAAATTTCTGGACTTACGTTTAACCTATAGCCAAAGAAAAGGGGAAGGATGATATGGAGATGTACAAGGGCTGCAATAAGCTGGGTAATTTGGGAAGAAAGAAATTCACGAATCTTCTTGAAGGAAAAAGAAGCAAAGAAACTATATTGATAGTATTATGATTAGAGTTGCTCATTGGCTTGAGTCCTTGAAATCTTCTCAAATATCTCATTGGATGACATCCTTAGAAATTGCAAGGAAGTAACTGATTCTTCTATAAGTAAAACTGTCATCAATCCTCAATGTTCTTGATAGGACCCAACCCAATCCACCTGCTATGTATGCTCTAGACTCAAGCCCAAACCAGCCTATGGTTTACCCAGGTCCATCTCACAATGCTAATCCATCAAAATCACTCATTCAGTATGTTTACCACAGGAAGCAATACCAGGCAATTGATGGAGAACAGATTTGAGAATAACTAACTACACATGACTTCACATGTAAAGCCTAGAAGTAGTGGGTGAACAATGGAATACGTAGAGTATTTACCCCCAGCTTCCCCTCTCTTCTCTCATTCCACTAGGAGATTGAGTCTCCCTTGAAGCCAACTCTTGTGTTGAGTAGAAATTCAACAATTGATATCAGTGTTGATCCATGCCCAACACCAAATCTGTTTCAAATGGAGGACAGGGTAGATAGGATTGAGGTCAGCTTACACAAATTCAAAGGAGATCTGAGGAGATTGGTGATTATGTCTCGGCATACCAGGGCTAACACTGATGAGGGTAGAGATCAGGACAGTGAAGGCTCTAGTGGTAGAAGCAAAAATGCAACTTCACTTTCCAAGTTTTTCCATTGAGGATTTGATGGTTTGGATCTTCAAAGCAGAGAGGTGTTTTGAATTCCATGAGACAACGGTGTGCTAGGGATTCTTCATCGCCTCCATCTATCTTGAAGGAGAGGTGATATTGTGGTTCCAATGATATAGGAACTAACACCCCCACATCAATTGGGCCGACTTCATGGAAGAGCTCCATGTATGCTACCCCACGATGAAGCTTGTCAAAGTTGAGGCTGACAACCATTGTTCACAAGTATGTGGTAGAGTTTGAATTGTTATTGGCCAGAGTAACTGACTAGACAGAGAAGGATTTGGTTGGCAGCTGTATTGGGGATCTTAGAGAGGACATCTGGCCGGAGGTGAGAGCTTGGTGTCTGATTATGGTGTCTATGGCAGCAACTTTAGTTCGAATTCAAGAAGTTAGACTGGCTCAAGCGGGTGAACTGGAATATCAGACATATTTTGAAGATCTCGCTGATTTGAGCTGAACCTATGGTGCCGAAGAATAGTGGGCTGACAGACCCAAGTAGCATGCCCTTCAAATGGATGTCCTGGGAGAGATGCAGGCCCAATGTGAGAATGGCCTGTGTTACAGTTGTAAGAAGTTCATGCCGGGCCACCATTACAAGGCCTAGGGATGAGTTCTTTAGGAAATGGGCCTAACCAAGGAAGGTATGTCCACTCAACTTGATGAAATAGGCCTGGCAAAACAAATTGAAGGTCCAAGAAGCTAATGGCTACAAGCTGACTTGTGATGGCCTATGTAAGGAGGTGACATTGAAGGTCCAAGGGGAATGGTTGATAGGAGACCTATATCTCTGGAGTTAAGTGGTGCTGACATAGTTTTGGGGGTTCAGTGGTTGCTACAGTCAGACCTGTGATGTGTGGCTGGAGTAAACTCACCATGGAATTTTAATTGAATGGGGTCGACCATATGTTGCAAGGAATTAACCTGGTGTTGTCCAGCCTGGGAACCAGGGGGCTGACCTCAAGTATTGTCAATGGGCTCAATAACCAGCTTTTGTGCATCTGGTCCTCATCATGACCAGCCCAACCCAATTTGCAGCAACCAAAAAACAACCTAGGCCTGGACCAACTCCTTCAGCAGTTCAAAGATGTCTTTGAGGAGCCTAAGCTACTGCCCCAACCCGGGCACAAGACCATCATATTCCTATTTCCTATACAACCTTGAGCATCACC